ATATATATACAGCTTTTCGGACCGCGCTTCGCGCGGTCCTCAAAGCCTTTCTATTCGGACCGCGTTTCGCGCGGTCCTCATATAGCCTATATTAAATCCATTTAACACACAAAAATTAATTCTTTTTTTGTATTACCGCGAACTATTTCCACATTTGTTGTCCGACTTTCACGAAATTTATATCAAAATAAATAAATTTTTTTTGGATGATTACTATGTTATCTATTTCTTTCTCCCAGATATTTTATTTTACACCGCGTTTTGCATAATTTAAATATTTATTATATATTTTTATTTTTTATTTTCTTGTTATTTTAATTTCCACACAATTTCATATTTTTTAAATATAAACATTATTTTAGTTAATATATACTTTAAATATTTTTTTCATTACTTAATTATTATATCCTTTTTTACATTTTACTCAATTTTTTTTATTTCTAATGTACCCACCGCTAACCCGCTATTATTAGCTCTCATACAATGTCATAATTCTTCAATTACAAAATTTCCCTGTATATTACATTTTTTGTAAACATTTTTCACTTTTTTCAATTAAATGTCCTTGATTGCTACATTCATCAATTTTAATTTTTACACTTTCTCTTTTTGTTGCTCTAGAAAATGCCACATAAAGTTGACCATGAGCAAATACAGGATGTGGCAAATAAATTCCAATTTTTTCTAAACTTTGTCCTTGTGATTTATTTATTGTCATAGCAAATGACACTCGAATAGGAACTGTCTTCGTTTAAACTTAAATGGCAGTTCCAAATCATTTGTAATTAAATCTATCCTCAGAATCATAACAATTTGTCCTCGAGCAGGACCTGTTATAACTTCTACATAAATTATATTATTTTTCAAATTAGTTATAATAAATCTTGTACCATTACAAAGTCCTTTTTTAGTATTTAAATTTCTTAATAAGATTACTGTAGCACCAACTTTTATTTTAAGCCGATGAACTGGCATTCCAGAAGGTGTCAGTGAATTTAGAAACTCAGTTGGAAAATTTAATTGCTCCTGTGGATCATCACTTACAATACAGTCAATAGAGAGATACTCCTTTTCTTCTCCTTCCATTAGACAAAGAATTTCATCATTAATTTTGAAAGTATCCTCATTTTTAGGACAAAGAATCGTTCGATCTTGATTTTCTCTAATCCTTTTCATGGTAATTCTATCACCAAAAATCTCATTAATAAGAGATTCTTTTGATATAAATCATGTGGAATTTCAATCGTGTCTAGATTTAGTCCATCTGTATTTGATAATTTACCATCTCCGAGTTGCATTAACCAATTTGCAAATTCTTTTTCTTCCGCAGTTCTCATATTTTGCTGTAATTAACCTTAATTACATTCCTCCATATAGGGTTGTATTTTACAGTCGATTCAATTATCGCTGTTTTTGTGTAAATGAGGTACTACTGGAAGATTTTGTCTGAAATCTCCTGCAAATAAAATTACTTTTCCTCCAAATGGTTGATCATTCTTCATTAAATCCTTTAAAAGTTTATCAACTGCTGTTAAGGCATGTCCAACAGTCATGCTCACTTCATCCCATATGATTAATTTTGCATTGATCAATTCTCGTGCAGCTTGAGAATTTCCTCTAATATTTGATTTAGCTGCATCATCAATTGGAATTGTAAGCTTAAACAGAGAATGATAAGTTCTTCCTCCTTTCAGAAGTGTGGCTGCAATTCCAGTTGAAGCACATGGAAGAACTATTTCATTTCTTCCTCGAATAACACTTAGAAATGTGTTAAATAAATAGGTTTTACCACTTCCTGCAAACCCGTCAATAAAAAACAAACGCTTAAGTTCATTTTCATTTTTAATTGCTCGCATTACTATATCATACACGTATTTTTGTTCATCATTTAGTGTAGATAATAAATAATCACCACGTATTTTTTCTTCATCTACATTATACTCTGTTTCGTAAATATTTATTTCAGTTGGATTTGGTAATTGAAATTTCTCACAACTACTTCCATTATTTATCAGAATTTGTTGTATATGGTTTAACGCCATATTTTCGGGATTTACAACATTATTATTTACAAAGTCCTCAATCATAAAATCTGTGATCAAGTCAATAAATGCGTATGCACATGGGTGCGTGGATACGTGGGTGGGTGCGTGGGTGGATAAATAAAGTGATAAAAATTTGTTAAAATCATATAGTAGCCATCCCGGACAAAATTTGAATACAAATTTCGAAAAAGTCTGTGAATAAATGTTTGAATGCGTGGGTGGATGCATGGGTGGGATAAAACTTAAAAGAACCACACAGCAGCTTTCTCAGAAAAATTTGCAACATTTTTGTACCAATTTCGTAAAAATTGGTCCATAAATGCGCATGCGGTGGGTGAATACGTGGGTGGAGGTGTAACACTTGAAAAAACCACATCGTCGCCATCTCCAAAAAATTTGCAACATTTTGGTACCAATTTTTACAAAAATCCGTTCATAAATATGCGATTGCGTGGGTGGATGCGTGGGTGGGGGCGTAAACTTAAAAAACCCACACAGCAGCTTTCTCAGAAAAATTTACAACATTTTTGTACCAATTTCGTGAAAATTGGTCCATAAATGCGCATACGCGTGGGTGGGTGCGTGGGTGGAGGTGTAACACTTGAAAAAACCGCATCGTCGCCATCTCCAAAAAATTTGCAACAATTTGGTACCGATTTAAAAAAAATCGGTTCATAAGTATGCGATTGCGCGGGTGGGTGCGTGGGTGGAGGCGTAAACTTAAAAAACCCACACAGCAGTTTCCTCAGAAAATTTGCAACATTTTGGTACTAATTTCGTGAAAATTGGTCCATAAATGCGCATGCATGTGGGTAAATGCGTGGGTGGGTGAGTGGGTGGAAGTGTAACACTTAAAAAAACCGTATCGTCGCTATCTCCAAAAATTTTGCAACATTTTGATACCATGTGTTCAGAAATATTGCAAAAAAAATTTTTTTTTGCAAAAACATACCCTCCTCTGAGGAAAAAAAATAAAAATAAAAAAATTAAAAAAAAAACCCACAGCAGCCACCCCCGAAAAATTTGCAACATTTTGGTACCAATTTCGAGACAATCGGTCCACAAATGCGGAAGTAGTTCGGGTACAGACAGACAGACAGACAGACAGACAGACAGACGGACGGTGCTTATATATATAGATATATATATATATATATATATATATATATATATATATTATTTGCAAATGAGACGAGAAAGTAAAACATAGTATATTAAATATTTAATATAATACATATAAATAATACGTATAATAATGCTAAATTTTAAAATATAATGTTACTTATTGTAAATATTTAAAGTATTTAAAATATGTTATTTATTACTTTAAATATGTAAAATATTTGTATTTTTAAAATCAAATTGTCTCTTCGTAAAGAAAATAATTTTGTTAAAATTTATGGAATAGGATGATATCCTTTTAAGGTTTGCAAAAATGACATTTTTCGCCGTCAATTAATTGCACATTTTCCACTGACGAAACTGAAAGATATGGAGTTTTATTTTCAGGTACTTGCATTTTTCCTATTACTTTAATTGGTGAGCCGTAAGTGAAATTATCTTCAAATCTCCATTACATGTTATTAAAACAGACAGTTTATAATAACCATCTGTAATCGCTCCAATGTAAAAATGATTATTAGATGATTTTTCAAAAACATTTTATATGATGTTCCATTTCTGAAAAGAAATTAAAATATTTTAGATAATAATTAATTCATATAATTAGGAATTTTAATGAAAACAAATATACAGAATGTTTCAGAATTGATAGTTTAATAAAAGAAGCATTTCTACTAAAACTTAAATTAAATTCTTTGATTATGTTAGTAAACACAAAATAATAATAACATAATATATATTAAAATGTCTGTTCCTATAAAGTAACTGTTATATAACAGAGCATGTCACGTAACTGTTATCTTATTAAAACGGACTTTTTAATATATATGTTATGTTACAGTTACTTTGTGTTTACTGAGTATATTTAATTATATTTGATAATTGTTGTTATGTTTGATTATTGTTATTATTTGATATCGTTAAATTGTTTATTTGATTATTGTTATTATGTTTGATATTGTTATATTTGATTATTATTATTAAATTTACAATTAAAATCAGGAAATTTGATTTTGGATAATCAAAAAGTTTTAAATTTAAATATATTGATTAACATATAAGAGAGATTATAATAGGAAAGGAATTACCTATTATTAAACCACTTTTGGTTCTGGCATTTGCATTTTAATCAAAGAAATTGTTTCATTTCTTTTGGTATTTTATAAATGCCAATAGGAACGACAATAGTGGAACTTCGGATTAATAATTCGTATGGAAATGAAGCATTATGTAATATTCTTTCCTCAAGGGATTTAGGTACCACTTTTGTAGAGAATAAACCTATACAATTTAAGATTTTGTAACGGTTCACCTTTCCCGACGCCGCGGATCGCTCGCCGGTTCCAGGATTCGGAGAGAAGGGGGAGATTCAGACTCGCTTATTCCTATTAACAATACTTTGGTTTATTCAAAAGAAACAAGGAAACAAAGAATGTTGGCATAAAGCAGGAATAGAGAAGGGGAAGGACTATCGAGAAATAGAAAAAAGGTTTGTTGGGATAAAGGAAGAATAGAGAAAGGGAGGGGAGGACTCGGTATAATGAATAGGAGAATGAGTAGCCTGTAGCGGTGTGGAAAGATATTACAAATTACCCGGTATAACTTAGAGATACGGTGTACGAGGCGTATAGCCTAAGTGGCAGGAAGAAAGGTAAACCGGGAACCCCGTAATGAGAGAAACCCGTCACCCGGTGTATAGCAGGAAGAGTTTGTAAGGTTGGGGAACGCTCCTTAAAAGCGCCTTCAATCCCTTAGGGGACGAATAAGAAGGAATTGAATTGAATAACTTTTTAAAGTCGCATATTAGCTAGAAAGAAATTCAGAATTTGTAAATAAGATTATGGAGATAATTATTTAATTGAAGATCATTTAGAAATTCTTTTTCTGAATTTTATTTGTAACATTTTATCAATATATACGAGGTGTAACAAAGAATCATTTTGCCTTTCTATTATTCATGAGCATCTACTTGTCCCCTTCTAATCCCCACCAGATATTATACACTTGTGCCAACGTTCCCCACTCTCCTTCGAAGCTGTGATCTTGTTCAACTCCGGCGTCGTAGTTTATCTCCTCTTCAGTTGTCGGGGGCCCTTCAGGGTAGGGGAACCCAGATCGGGAAGATCTGTGGCTAGGGCATTATTAGTGTTGTTTTGGCCAAAAATTCGATGCTGTTTTTGGTCGAAATTGAGCAATTTTGGTACGAATTTCGCGGCGACCCGTGTCATGCCCAAATCATTGGTAAAAATCGAATGGCACGAGCCAATCGATATGTTTAGGTCTTCAGCAACTTCTCTAACGGTGATTCGACGATTGACCAATACTATTTTCTTCACTTCATCAATGTTTTCGTCTGTTGTTGACGTGCTCGGGCGTCCGGCACGCTCATCGTCGTTCACATCTTCTCGGCCCTCGGAAAACATTTTGTACCACCGATAAACGTTGCTTCGGTCCAAGGTAGCTTCACCATATGCCACAGTCAACATTCGGAATGCGTCCGCGCACTTAATTTTGTTTTTCACACAAAATTTGATACAGATTCTTTGATCCATTTTTTGGAATAGGCAAAAATCGAAGACGAGCCAAAACACGTGCAAGCAAAGCAGCTGTCAAAAATTAACTGAACATTCAAAATGGCCGTACTTGTCGGCATAAATGAGAAACATGAGTACCAATATGCCCACGAAAAAAATCGATTTTCGATCTTCCGAACCGGCTGGTTCAACAATTCGGTATTTTATATATATTCGTATATATATATATATTATTAAAACATATATATTTGATAGTGAGCATAGGTAAACATAAATATTAAATATTTAATATAAAATACATAATGCGTATAATTTAAAATATTTTTAAATGTTACTTTAAATATGTATTATTTGTATTTTTAAAATCAAATTATTTGTATTTTTAAAATAATTTCTCTTCGTAAAATTTGGATAAATTTATGGAATAGGATGATATCCAAGGTTTGCATGACATTTTTTCGCCGTCAATTAATTGCACATTTTCCACTGACGAAACTGAAAGATATGGAGGTTTATTTTCAGGTACTTGCATTTTTCCTATTACTTTAATTGGTGAGCCGTAAGTGAAATTATCTTCAAATTCTCCATTACATGTTATTAAAACAGACAGTTTATAATAACCATCTGTAATCGCTCCAATGTAAAAATGATTATTAGATGATTTTTCAAAAATCATTTTTATATGATGTTCCATTTCTGAAAAGAAAATTAAAATATTTTAGATAATAATTAATTCATATAATTAGGAATTTTAATGAAAACAAATATACAGAATGTTTCAGAATTGATAGTTGAAATAAAAGAAGCATATTCTACTAAAACTTAAATTAAATTCTTTTGATTATGTTAGTAAACACAAAATAATAATAACATAATATATATTAAAATGTCTGTTCCTATAATGTAACTGTTATATAACAGAGCATGTCACGTAACTGTTATCTTATTAAAACGGACTTTTTAATATATATGTTATGTTACAGTTACTTTGTGTTTACTGAGTATATTTAATTATATTTGATAATTGTTGTTATGTTTGATTATTGTTATTATTTGATATCGTTAAATTGTTATATTTGATTATTGTTATTATGTTTGATATTGTTATATTTGATTATTATTATTAAATTTACAATTAAAAATCAAAATTTGATTTTGGATAATCAAAAAGTTTTAAATTTAAATATATTGATTAACATATAAGAGAGATTATAATATTAAATTACCTATTATTAAACCACTTTTGGTTCTGGCATTTTGCATTTTAATCAAAGAAATTGTTTCAATTTCTTTTGGTATTTTATAAATGCCAATAGGAACGACAATAGTGGAACTTCGGATTAATAATTCGTATGGAAATGAAGCATTATGTAAATATTCTTTCCTCAAAGGGATTTTAGGTACCACTTTTTGTAGAGAATAAACCTATACAATTTAAGAATTTGTTTTAATTAATATGATAAATAATATTATATAAATATATTAAAATGTAATGTTATATAAATAATAATATATAAAAAATCTTATTTTAATACTATATAAATATAAAAATATCTTACTTGTTCTGTTTGAGTTATTATGTCTGCATATTTAAAAGCTAAATCATTCCAGGCAGCAATTTGAATGGTAATTTCACCGTTGCTCATAATAAAATTAAAAAGATGCGTTGTTTTGCCATTTCTTGTGGTTGATTTAATTTGAAATATTGAACTGACGTAGCCAGTTATTTCACTATAATGAAAGAATTTATTTGATTGAAATAAGGAAATGTTTGATTAAAATTAAAATATCTAATATAATTAAAATTTAAAATTATAAATTATTGCTAAAATTATTTAATGTAAAACTATAATTGTAAATAAATATATAATGTGTATATGTATATGTGTTTTTGTGCGTATGCGTTTGTATATTTGTGTGTATCTGCATCTATGTATATTTAAATGTATAATGTGTATGTTACATGTGAAAATTTAAGTGTACGTGTATGTGTGTGTGTGTGTGTGTGTGTGTTTTTATGTATGCATGTGACTGTGTGCGCGCGAGGTGTGTAAATTTAGTTTTATAGTTTTTATTTTCTTTATAATATTATAACTAATTATTAATATGCATAATCATTAAGAAAATATAACTTACAAAGTCGTATCGTTTTCCATAATGTCCTCCAAAATTTCTTTTTTTGTAAACAAATTGGTATTTGTTATTTCTTTTAAAGCCATGTTAAACCTATATTAATGTGTTTATATTATTAAATGCTTTTTTAACAATTATTAATAATATAAATAATGTTCAACATTGAGTTTTATACCAAAATTTTGCTCTGTGAAAGTAGAATTTATTAATTTTGATACTGATATTTTCAGCATAATAATCTTTAATACTTACGTTAAAAAGAAAATGAATGTACTACACAACCGTCTTGGAGTCGATACACACAAGAAATGCTCTACGGTTTTTTGCTAGCGTCTTTTTTTTTCCTTAGAAACGATGAAAAAAGAAATATTTGTTTTTCCTTGAAAAACAATAGAAAGTTAAAAACAAATAAATATGAATAACTTTAATTGTAATTAATAAAATTAATAATATAGAATTTAATTAATAATATTATTCCACATTAATATATTAAAATAATGAAAATAATGACACAGTTTCTCTATACCTATATATTTACATTATGTTTGTCCAAATTTTACGTTATATTCTTTATTTCTAAAAATATTTATAATAAGAAATTAGGCGCGGCTTTTTTTGTTACATAGAGTATTATTTTATAAATGCTAATAGGCACAATAAATAGTGGTAAACTTTGTATTAATAATTTAAATTTAATAATTGATTTTAATTAATATAACAAATAATTACATAAATGTTTTTAATGTAATATTTATTTTAATTTATAAATGTTTTATTATAATATTATATAAATATCTTACTTTTGTTTAAGTTATTATGTATATTTAAAAGCTCAATCATTCCAGGCAGCAATTTGAATGATAATTTCACTGTTGTTCATAATAAAATTATAAAGATGCGTTTCTACCATTTCTTTTGGTTTTCGGTTGATCTGATTTAAAATGTTGAACTGCTATAACCTGTTATTTTATAAAATAAATTAATTGTATTAATAAAATTTTGAAATATTTTGTTAATTAAGAATAAAATATCTAAATTGGTTAAAATTTATGATCATAAATTATTACTAAAATTTTAATATTATTATCAATAAGTATATAATGTATACATGTGTATAATGTGTATGTAGTATAGGTAAAGTATGTGCATATGTTAGTGTGTGCGTGTGTGTGTACATGTGTGATTTGCGTGAGTATGTACACATGTATGTATATGCGTGCGTATGTATTTGTGTGTGTAAATTTAATTCTATAGTTATGATCAATGTTATAATTATTAATAAGCTGTAACTTACAAAATTATATCATTTTCTACAAGGTGCTCCAAAATTTCTTTGTAAACAAAATATTTTTAATTTTTTTTAGTTATTTACTTTAAAAATTGATGTTTTCTTCTAGAAAAAGAATCCTTAGAAATAATTTAAAGAAAAAAAAATATTTGTCTTTCCTGGAAAAAATCAAGGAAAAAAGATACTTAGAAACAAATAAATATTAATAAGTTTTTAATTTTAATTTTATTTTACTAAATTAAAGTAATATTTTTATTAAGAATTCTTAATTACAAACTTTATAAATAAATAACTATAGACTAATAAATAAATAAATGATAATCCTTAAGAGTCGCCAGTAATAAATAATGAAAAACTCTCCTCCAATTTTAAAGTCGACCAGACTGGCAATAATTTATTTTAAATAATTAGTTTAATTTACAACGTTTCGGCTGTCATTGCAGCCCTTTTCAAGTAATCTATAAACAATTATATACATATAAATATACTCTTAATGCGCTTAATCATACAAATAATTATAGATTTACAAAAATATATATGTTTACATACCAGATTAATACAATAAATCATATTTACAGCAAACCCCCGACAAAATTAACCATTGTTTTGATGAACAATGTATAACTGACAGAAGTAAGCCCGAAATAAATAGATGCCCAGTCAGCACAAAAGATCCCCTAGATGTACATAGAATATACGGAAATGGATTCTGGATATCCTGTGTATATCATAACACATCTGAAAGATGTCCATTGCAGATCGTATAGATGTTCAAAAGCAATGCACCGTAGGTCTCAGGTAGATCTATTATACATCCATTTGTACATCCAATGTACATACATGGAACATACATTTTTGTATATCCATATCGTCGCACTTTTAGCATATTCTATGTGTATCCAAAGAACGTGTATTGTACATCACATGTATGTATTATATATATCCAAAGAACGTATATTGTACATCACATGCATGTATTATGTACATCCAAAGAACGTATACTGTACCTCGCACATACATGTACTATGTATATCGAAAGAACGTATACTGTCCATCATATGCATGTACTACGTATATCCAATATATATATCTATATGTACATTTAATGTATATACATTTTCATATATTATATGTATATATTATTTGAGAGGTTCAAAAAGATTCAAATATACAGCCATATATAGGTTTTGATCATTTTGTATTTAGTATTTTATTATAAAAATGTGACAAATTTTTAAACTAATACTTTAATTATCTACCTTTAATTGTACATATATATATATATATATATATATATATATTATATCAAGATTCCAGCTAATTTTATTCGACATTGGATATCCGTGTACTATATACATAATATGACGTACAAAATGTTTTTCGAATATCATAAAAAATAAATGCTAAAGAAATTATATGGATATACGAAAATGTATGTACATATAAACAGTGGATGTAATAAACATATTCACTGTATACATATATTTTTGTATATTAATATAATTTTTTAGCATTTATTTTTTATTATAATTTTCGAAAAACATTTTAAATGTCATATTATGTATGTATAGTACAGATATCCAATGAAGTTATTTCTAATACATACATATATAATATATTCTATACAATTAAAAACTGTTGTTTCAACCGTTGTTGTGTTTTAAAGTTTTAAAATAAAAAGAACTCAATTTTAAAATAAAAACAAAAAGCAATTTTGATAAATGTGCACTAAATAAAAAAAACAAAAATAATAAATGCAAATAATATATATAGTAGCAGAACAATCAAATTAATAGTATTTAAAACCTTAAAATTTTACTTTTAATTTGTAATAAATGTAAAACAAATAATTATATATATATAACGGCAAGTTATACATATAATTATCTTAATCTTGAATAAGGTCTTTCTCAGAAACGGAGCCTGTTTCACAAACGGAGCCTGTTTCACAAGCAGAGCCTGTTTCACAAACGGAATCTGTTTGACACACAGTGTTTTCCGTTTTCTTTTTTGATTGAAACTTGTTACTGCGTTCTTTACTTCTAACTAGCCAATTTTTTATTACTTCTATGATATCCGATTCTGTTGCAGATTTTGTCTTGGAGTTCAGTCGAACAACACCTAAAATCATTTAGTAAATATAAAAGTTACGCACGCATATGAGCATTACATAACGTAACTGTGCAACATAACCGGTGTGAACAGATCTGCGAACTTTAATGCGTAACATCATCATATAATACATATATATTACAGATATTAAATAAAAAATTGTGAATAAAAAAATGAAAGCGACAAAGTAATGTAACAAAATTAAATTCAAATTCAAATTTTTCTATTTAAATATTATTTGATTACGCAACACAGTTATGTTACGATGAAACTTGATTCAAGCGTATATGTATATGCTTAAAATGGTTTTGATGTAGAGTATATAAAATAATATATTTTACCAATGATCACTTGGACGAACTTTAGCGATTTAAAAGCTTTTTTTTGCCGAGCTCCCTCCCAGGAATATAGCATTCCAACTTCATTTGAAATTGCTCTCGACATAATGGCTTTGATTACATGGGGAAGATCTGTGCCTCCAATTAAACGCAGTTGATGACTCTAAAATATAAAATTCACAAAATAAAAAAGTTCTTTATTAGAAAATAATTTTCATCATGTAAAATATAATCTAAATAATATATAATAATATAATTAAGTACACACCAGTGCATGTATGTTATCAGCTGAACTCGATAGCCATTCTTCCATCGACATTAATTCCTGCTCTGTAACGACTGGAAACGATTGTATTAAAGTCATAACAGCCGTATTAGTGTCATCATTTAGTTCTGGCTCATCAGCATATCGGGCTTTTTTTACAAGTATATTCACGTTATCCATAAGATCATTTAATTTAAGATTAATCAGATGAACTTCTTTAAGAAGTTGTTTTCTGAATTCTGAAAATTCTGAAAGTTAAGTTATATTGGATATTAAAATATTATACAAAAAGGAATATTTAAAAAATACAAAACATATAAAGAATAAAAATAATTATTTACCAGCATTTACGTGAACGCTATCTGTAGTTTGCTTGAAGTTATCTTAAAATAACAAGAAAATATTATCAATTTAATTAATAATGCTTATTTAACAGAATTGTTGTATAACAACAAACTTGTTATATTAAGGCCGATAATACGTTGGTGAATTCAATGCAGAGCAGAAAAAATTTCAACATATGTATTCCTATGATAGTATGCTACAGCGGACTACGCTGGGCCTGTCGTAGCTTATCTACCATAGGAATATACTCGTATGTATATGTTGACGACTTTTCCGCTCCGCATTGAATGTACCCATGTGCTACCGGCTTTAAAGTGGAATAAATTAATATAGAATTTATTTATTAACATTATTATTTAGATTAATTTATATTAATACTATTATTTAAGTAATACTATTATTTATTATTGAAAAAATCAATATTGTTTTAAAATATTAATTTTTTAAATGTATATTATAATTGTTATCTAAAACCAAAATATTTAAATATAAATATAAAGTGGAATAAATTAATATAGAATTTATTTATTAACACTATTATTTAGATTAATTTATATTAATACTATTATTTAATTAATACTATTATTTATTATTCAAAAAATCAATATTGTTTTAAAATATTAATTTTTTAAATGTATATTATAATTGTTATCTAAATATATTTATATTTAAATATTTTGGTTTTAGATAACAATTATAATATACATTTAAAAAATTAATATTTTAAAACAATATTGATTTTTTCAATAATAAAT